TGCACGCTCTCTGTCTATGCCTTGCGGCACGGCCCGCTGCACGGCTCACCAAGCAGGGTCTCTGCTATAGGGCCTCAAAAAAGCACATACGCAAAAATTCGGTTTTGGATATATCCCATATAAGTCCCCTTATACTGAAGCCCAATAAGGTAGAGATATCCCCCATAAAATGCTTATGCTTATGTGCTTTTGGGGTCCCTAATTAATCTTCGTCAGTGCCTCGCGGCACGGCCCACTGCCTCCCTTGGTCTGTGCCCCACCTTTTTGCGATTCATGTTGGCATCTGAAACCCTGCCACAATGACAATAACCATACTGCAGGAAAAGCACGTCCCTTGGTGCATGATGCACGCTCCCTGTCTGCTAGTGGAGTCACAGCCAGGCACACATGCTACAGAAAAACATGTTTTGCAGGGAGACGGTACCTGAAAGATCCGATGCGGATAAGACTAGGATTGACTCTCGCGCGGAAGAATTTGTGCAGTTTACTCCCCAAATTTACTCGCATGTGAGTAAATTCACTCCCCAAATTTACTCGCATGTGAGTAAATTTACTCCCCAAATCTACTCGCATGTGCGTAAATTTAGTTCCAAAATTTACTCGCATGTGAGTAAATTTACTCCCCAAATTTACTCGAATGTGAGTAACTTTACTCCCCAAAATTTACTCGCATGCGAGTAAATTTGCGCGAGTACTTCACACCACAAAATGTGAATGAAGTCTTCCGCGCGAGTAAATCCTAATTTTATTCGCATCGGATCTTTCAGGTTGCTCGGATCGGACTTGCAAGCAACTGAAAGGAGGCTTTTGCGCTGGGCGCACACGGACAAAGGTTTTTGACCCTGACAAATCCTTGGCATCCTTGTGCTGGGTCTTCATACATCTGTTGCACGGTCTATTACAGCCAACTGCCTACATGGATAATATTGGGCTTGGTCCACTGATTTGCCTGACTGCCATGGGCCGGCTTTTACTAGTGCCGCAAGATCTAACGGGGAGTTTACGGGTCCAGATCGGCTGGAACATAACATACACTTGGGGCATCTCCACGTGCTCTCTCAGGATTGGTGGCGATCTATAGGACCCGCCTTCTTGCCGGATCAGGTCTGCTTGCCAGTGGTTACAGGTGCCAAAGAACTTGGTTCCTTTTACCAATTCGGTCGTCGTCCTGGAAGGAAGTTGTTTCAGCTGCAAGAGCCATCGTTGGGGGACATCACACCAGACACCATGTCCAATTATGCGGCGCTTCTCACGACACGCCACGTGCAGGATGCAGAGGTCTTTGTTTTGGTGCATCACCTTCGGCAACTGCGTCGGGCCTTCGCCATTGTGCCACAGTTGGCTCAGGAACTTTGGGATAGGGTTGTAGGCCCTGTTATTTTTCTAGAGGCGTCTGTGGCCCTGCAGGTGCCCTTCAAAACTTTCTTCATCGCAGTGGATGGGTCCGGATGGGTTGCTTACGGCTCTGGAGTCTGCAAAGGGCCGTTGCACTGTGCTTTCAATGTGCGCACTTCTACGGGGAAACAAATTGCCCGCCAGATTGAGCAGGCATGGGCAGAAACTGTCCAGGAGAATTGCAGGCATAGAAACGGCATGCTTTTCGCCCCCACTCCTTGCAAGCTGCTCACCTCGGGAGCCCTGGTTTCCTTCAAAGCCTGGGAGCAGAAACTGCTGGCTCGACATTTCAGTGGAGCCTTCATGTCAGGTGCAGAGTGCCCACTTTGCAGCCAGTTGGATTCTAAGACCCATAAGGTTTTCCTTTGTCCCGCCTTATTGGCGAGCGCCCGTGAGCAACACTTAGACTGCTTGAATGAGGTTCAGGAATCACGCCCTCACTGGGCGCACATGCCTTATGCAGCATGGCCGGAATCCACCTCCTTTCTGCAGCTGTTGTTACAAGGCTTGCGTCTGCCTGAGGTTGGGCAGGCCCCTCAGTTGACCGCTTTCGAAGTGCCCTGCACACCTCGCTGCCGCTTGCACACCTTACAACATGGTCGGTCCTCATGGGCTGCCCCCAGCAGACCACACGGTGGCCTGCTGAACAGTGCTTCAAGCCTGAGGGTCTTAGCATGGCGTTTTCGGTTTTGGTTCAGGGCTGCACTCCGGGAGATCAAACAGTTCCCAGGGCTGAGCTTTCTGCTATCATCTGGGCTTCCAGATGGGTGCAGGCATTTCCGGGCCGATGTTTTGGTCTTTATTCTCATTACTCTTCAGCGATTAAGCTCTGGCATGATTTTGTCCGTCATGGCTGGAATTTCGTTGCCCAGCGGGCAAATGCTGACTTGCTTCTGCTTGCCACAGACCCGCTGAAGGTGGCAACGGTCAAAGCGGACCAAGAAGTGGCATCAATGAGGGCAGCATCTCGTGAGGAGCAGTGGCGGTCAGCAGGTAACATTGCGGCCGACCTGGATATTAAACAGGCGGGACAACCTGCCGGAGCTCCTGAGACAATCAGCGGATGAGGTGGCGGCTAATTGTCAACAGGAAGGCCAGCTACTCAAACAGTATTGTCATCACGGAGCAGGATGCCGTGCCCAACTTGGAGCTACGACGCTACGACTGCAAAACTGGCAGATCCCTTTACCTGGTGCGCAGGTGCTTCCCCCTACTTGAGAGGTGGACTGTGGCCTTTCGGTCAGGACTTTTGCGATGTCCTGTTACGTTGGCTGCATGAGTTGATCTGGCCTCTTCAACCTCCTCCGCCCTCACAAAGTTGACAGGTTGCTTACCTTGAGCTCCTTGCCCACTTTGTGTGGACCACACAGCAGCCCCCGCCAATCGAGGCACCAGGTGGAGCTCAGCAGAAGTACGAGCCAGTGGATGCGGCTTGTGCCCGACTGGTTCCATGTCACCGTTCAGGGGTTGTGGCCTGTTTTTCGAGCGGCTATTCTGCAGTTGCGGCGACGTGTACCTGGCTTTGCACTACCAGCGGCGGAAGTTTCAGATGTCCCCCACTTGCAAGCCTTTGGTCTGCGAACTCCGGCTGTAGGTCTGAATGCAAGGCCGGGCTTTGGACAAGGAGATTGGATCCTTTTTCTGCGAGAGTTGTGTACGGATGCGGCAATGGAAGTCTTCATTCGTAAATGCCGTTTATCTTGAGCCAATTCCAGGGACAGAGCAGCGGATCTTTCGTGGGTGAGGTGTCTCACAGTTTGCCTGCTTCATGTGTGCTTGCTGCGGGCCTTCCGCATTCATACAACGGTAAAGGTTCGCGCGCGGACAGTGGTTTTTTGTGGGGGGCATAGCCCCTCCCCCCTTTGCAAAGCCGCTGAAAGGATTCGTTGTAAGGACAATGCTGAAACAAGGAATGCCCGGGGTGGGTTGCGCGCAGCCTCATTTTCCAGTCAATCGAATGGGTTCGCAGGATTTGCACAGGTTCGCATGGCGGGATGTCCATGGGTGGTGATGCACACCATAGGTTGCCGCAGGCAGTTCCGGCCGGCGCATCCCCCCTTTCCATTTGCAAGCACAGTGCTCGAACTACAAATTGTGGGGGTTGCTGGGTGGGCAGCCTCTTCTTCCAGGCATTCGCGCTGGTTCGCTTCATTCGAGGCCCGGTGAGGTCCAAAAAAAGAAGCCGTCATTCCCCATTATAAACACCCCTCAATTATGAAACACTGCCCGGGAACGGCCTTCTGCTGGTGCCTGCAAAAGCCAGAAACAGAAGTGCTAATTTTAGAGCCGAGCCCTTTATTCGACAAGGTTTAGATTCAACACAATTTTCATATCAAAACTGTATTTTGCCTTGGGTCGCTATTTCGTCAGGCAAGCAAACCCTTATATCAACCCTCTCCACCAGTATCCACTACATCTCTTCCTCTATATATTTTCGTAACATAACCTTAAAGAGATGCGCTTACAAAAGAAGTCTGTGCTTTTGAGCAAGCTTGCACGGCTCCAAGGCAGGGGCGGGTTTAGGGGTGGCGCGCAGCCCCTACCCACGTTGGAGCCTTCAGCTTGCCGGTATATGGTTTGGGACGGAACCCCTTCATCAGTCGTCAGACGGCCTTGCCCAGTTAGCCGGGCTGCGGGGGCAGGTCGGCCGGGTCGGGGAAAGGACTTCCGAGGTCAAACAAAAGATAGAAGAGGGTGACCCACGAGATCGGGATCGCGAGACGGGAAATCGAGGGTTGAGGGAAGACATAGGGGTCAGAAAAAGACATAGGGGGCGGGGTCTGCCCCGGGGTTGGGGGTCACAAAAAGATGCAGGGCGTCAGAAAAAAGAAGTCCCCTGAGCCAGGCCTTGTCCTCGTCCAGCTTGAGGATCGCCTGGTCCAGGCTTCTGTTCGCTCGCTCCAGGTCGGTGTCCCACTCTTTCTCCGTCCGCTTACGGGATCGGATGTCTTCCACTAGCGACACCAACAGCGCCCTCGCTGCCTCGTATGGAAAGCCCGTCTGCAAGGAGAGCTTTCCACTTTCAGGCATGATGCGAAGCGCGAACGGCATCGCATACTTGCCTGTTGCTCGAGCTGCTCCTATGCCCTTGAAGCTGGTCCCGCTCGAGCGCACGCTGATGAATTGCAAACCCTACCTTGTCAGGACCTTTGTGGAGTGAGCCCTCCATCCCGTCCCGTGCCATGGCAACCACACGCCCGTGCAGGGGCGTCCTATCGGGCTCGAGCTCTGGTTCTCTTAACCGAGAGCTCCGCTACCAGTGCGAAGACTAGTCACTTTTCCGCTAAGCCGTAGGCTTGGTCCAAGGGCCCCTGCGGTAAAGGGGTGCATCAAAAGCTGTACAAAAACTCTAGGTACACACTGTACGGGCTGCAAAAAGGCTTATTTCATGCTGGCACTTGGCACAACAGTCTCGGTCCATGCACTGCACACGCTGAGCACTAATCAATGTTAGTCAGACCTTTCTAGGAAGCAACAGAGGGAAACGTACAACTCTCACTGCTCAAAGTGTGTTTGTTGGAGGGGACTGAAGCCCTCTCCGAATTTCGTCTGCTCCGCTTTCGCCGTGTTCGTCAAAGTCTGCGCATGCGCTAGGCCCCTAGGCCCTAGGCGGCAGAGGCCTCCAAGTACTTGCAGATCGCCCGCAAGGAATTTCCATGAGCTGCAACAAGGACATTCTTCCCAGCCATGACCTGCCAGCGAGATTCTGAGATGCTAAGTGGCCAGCCCATGCCTCATAAAGGGAAGCGCACGCAAGGCGCGATGGTGTCGTTCCAAAAAGGCATCACCTCAAGTGTCGGGGCACAAGCCTGGGACCTGCTCTGCAATTGTGCCATGCGCTGAGAACCTTACCCGGTCCACCGTCATCGACAAGGACTCTGCTCCAGGCAAGGCTGTCTTGGGAACCTCAAACAAGTCACTTGTCACGTGCGTTCCCTAGCGCGGTGAAAAACTGGTCTCTCTCTCTCTCTCTCTCTCTCTCTCTCTTAGGGACCCGCGTTACGGTACATTGGGTCATTGGAGGGATGCCGCGGATCTGAGGCACTGATTGCCGGCGGCGGGATGTCGTAGCTCCTCCGCCAGATCTTCACCTGCCAGAAAGCGAGGAGAAAGGGGGGGCGCGGATCCCAGCCAGTCGGAGCCGCTCGCTTGGAATGTAGAGCCGCGAGCCTGCTTCTCGCCGTGCTTTGCAGCTGTCTCTGCCTTAGCGCGGCAGCTGAGAGCGCCTCCCTCTCTCTCTCTCAGCGCGGGCTGAAGTTAACAGCCTTGTTCAAGCCCTGCAGGCCACCATAGTGCCGCTCATTGAGCCTCGCAGGGAGAGGCGGAGGAGGCCAGGCCGGAGGCCCCGGAGGCCGGTGAGGCGCTCTCGGCGAGACATATCCCTCTCCTCCAGGAGTTGATGACGGGCATCGCGAAGTTCGAGGACTCCGCCAAGGCCGTCCAGGCCGTGCGCACGGCTCGGCCTGCGGAGCACCGCACGTCTCGGAGCACCGCACGTCTCTGAGACCTCTCTTCTTCCCCTCTCTTCCGTTGTGGGCCCCCGGCGAAGCACGGACCTGCAGAGGCTCAAAGCCAAGAGAGAGAGAGAGGAGGCGGATGCGACGGTTGAAAAGGTTGGGTCTGCGGGCGTGAAGACGATGTCGAAGCGGAAGCCCTCGTCCAGCAGCATCCGCCCCGCCTCCACCGCCTCCCATCGCCGCGCTTCCCGTGCTTTTCCAGTCCAGCTCTCCATCTTTTCAAAATCGGCCGTTCCCGCATTCCCGCACCGCTCGGCCGGCCTCGCGGCGGCCGGCCTCGCTGAGGTCCACGTCCGCCCAGCCCGTGAAGATGTTCTTCACCTCAACACGCGTGGGAGCTGCGGTGCTGCTTTCAAGAGGGAGGGAGCTGGGAGAGAGGTAGAGATAGAGACGAAGCTTGAAAGCTGTCGGGGAGGGCTGGAAGGCTTCTCCCCTCTTCCGTTCCGAGCGACATTCCAGTCACTCTCCCCGTGTCGCAGGAAGACCTGAGAGAGAGCGGCTCGAAAAAGCCGGCGAAGCCACCCTTCGAAGCAAAAACAATGCAGACTTCGTCCCTCGGCTCAGGCCAAGGAGCGATCTTGAAGACCCCCGGCGTGCGCTTCCCCAAGCCACCCTTCGCCCGGCTCAGGATGGCTTTGGCCTTCTTGCCCATCAAGTCCCCGTATCCTTGAGCCTCCTTCAGATCTTCGGGCGATATGTCGGTGTAGCAGGCGTTGGGGGTGTCGTCCTTGCAGTAGGCAGCCAGGCACTTGGAAATGCCCACGCAGGAGCAGTTGAACTCCCCGACGATCCACTTCTCCTGATCCGCAGGCGTGCCCTCGGGCGAAGCAAGGATGAAGTCCGTCGTCCACCACAGCGGGATCGGCTCGTCTGCTAGACCCAAGGATGGCATCACATGCTCCAAGTCCCTCTTGAGGAAATTCTCCGTCAGACCCTTGAACTTAGGTTCCTCCGGGCCGTAGAACGTGTATATAGATCCTGTGCCGCCCACTGCTGAGATTCCACCCTCCTTGGGCTTCTTGTGGATAATCCCAACAAGTGCGTCGCCCACCATGTTGTAGCGCAGCTCACCTTCCACAATGCGTGGGCAAAAACGTTGATCTACGAGCTGCCCTCCTGCGGCCTTACCACCCTCCAAGTACTTGCCGACGCCCTTCGATGTCCAAGTTCCAGACTTAGACGTGCGGCCGCTCACACAGAACTCGATGAACTCCGCCACGGTGTGCTCTTCAGCATGGTTGTCGTTCGCCTCCATCAGATCCAACACCTCGTCGTTTGTGCAAGACCTCTCTCCGTAGGACTTGCAGTAGTTGCCGGCTTTCAGCTTGATGATCCAGATGCCCTCACCTGACGAGCCCCTGTTCTGCTTGATGACACGCGGCTGGAAAGCCATCGTCTTTTTGAAGCCTGCCGCAAACTCCTCTGCCGAGTAGTAGGCGAGCGTGTCCTCCAAGCCAATGTTCAATGTGGCCACCTTGCAAAGCGCATCCTTGGCACCCATGAACTCCATGACGTCGGGTGAGGGCCAAACCTGAATGCCCAGCTTGCGCATGGCACGCATGCCATCGTCGAACTTGCCCTGATCTCCCCCATCTGCCTTGATCTGACCAGGGTTGCAACGCACGATGATGGCATCAAAGTTCTTGCACACCTCGAAGAACTTGTCATGCTCTTCATGCACGTAGTGAATCAGCTGACAACTCATGCCTGCATTGATCATGCCGTTGGCAAAAGGGATGGAGTCATAGCGGTGGCCGTTCGAGCTCTTGTCTGAGCCGCCATACGGCTGGCTGCGCACGTAGATCTGGGCCAGTGCAGTCTTGAACCGAGCCCTCTTTGGCTGCACCAACAAGCCGAGATCATCCTTTGCAATCCGGGAGATCGGAGAAACGTCCACTGGATTGCGGGCACGAACTAGTATGGCCAGCGCTTTCACACCCATCAAGTCCCCGTATCCTTGAGCCTCCTTCAGATCTTCGGGCGATATGTCGGTGTAGCAGGCGTTGGGGGTGTCGTCCTTGCAGTAGGCAGCCAGGCACTTGGAAATGCCCACGCAGGAGCAGTTGAACTCCCCGACGATCCACTTCTCCTGATCCGCAGGCGTGCCCTCGGGCGAAGCAAGGATGAAGTCCGTCGTCCACCACAGCGGGATCGGCTCGTCTGCTAGACCCAAGGATGGCATCACATGCTCCAAGTCCCTCTTCAGGAAATTCTCCGTCAGACCCTTGAACTTAGGTTCCTCCGGGCCGTAGAACGTGTATATAGATCCTGTGCCGCCCACTGCTGAGATTCCACCCTCCTTGGGCTTCTTGTGGATAATCCCAACAAGTGCGTCGCCCACCATGTTGTAGCGCAGCTCACCTTCCACAATGCGTGGGCAAAAACGTTGATCTACGAGCTGCCCTCCTGCGGCCTTACCACCCTCCAAGTACTTGCCGACGCCCTTCGATGTCCAAGTTCCAGACTTAGACGTGCGGCCGCTCACACAGAACTCGATGAACTCCGCCACGGTGTGCTCTTCAGCATGGTTGTCGTTCGCCTCCATCAGATCCAACACCTCGTCGTTTGTGCAAGACCTCTCTCCGTAGGACTTGCAGTAGTTGCCGGCTTTCAGCTTGATGATCCAGATGCCCTCACCTGACGAGCCCCTGTTCTGCTTGATGACACGCGGCTGGAAAGCCATCGTCTTTTTGAAGCCTGCCGCAAACTCCTCTGCCGAGTAGTAGGCGAGCGTGTCCTCCAAGCCAATGTTCAATGTGGCCACCTTGCAAAGCGCGTCCTTGGCACCCATGAACTCCATGACGTCGGGTGAGGGCCAAACCTGAATGCCCAGCTTGCGCATGGCACGCATGCCATCGTCGAACTTGCCCTGATCTCCCCCGTCTGCCTTGATCTGACCAGGGTTGCAACGCACGATGATGGCATCAAAGTTCTTGCACACCTCGAAGAACTTGTAATGCTCTTCATGCACGTAGTGAATCAGCTGACAACTCATGCCCGCTTTGATCATGCCGTTGGCAAAAGGGATGGAATCATAGCGGTGGCCGTTCGAGCTCTTGTCTGAGCCGCCATACGGCTGGCTGCGCACGTAAATCTGGGCCAGTGCAGTCTTGAAGCTCGGGCTGGCAGGCTGCCGAAGCAGCCCAAGCTTGTCCGTGGCAACCTTCCGTAAGCTGGAAACATCAACTGGGTTTGCTGCCTGCTCCAGGATACCTGAGGATAGCAACCAAGACTCAATGGACTAGATATTTAAGAATTTAAGACATTTAGGACATTGCTGATGACCAGGGACAGCAGATTTTGCACAAGTCCCACACGGATCTGTCTTTCAAAGCGATCACAGATAGACATGAAATGAAAGCACGCATGTCATATCTGAAGACAAGAAAGAGGCCAAGCTACCAAGAGCCTTCTGACCCATCAGTGTCCCATAGCGCTCTGCCTCCTTCAAATCTGCAGTGGAAATATCATCGAAGCAGGCGTTGGGGGTGTCGTCCTTGCAGTAGGCAGCCAGGCACTTGGAAATGCCCACGCAGGAGCAGTTGAACTCCCCGACGATCCACTTCTCCTGATCCGCAGGCGTGCCCTCGGGCGAAGCAAGGATGAAGTCCGTCGTCCACCACAGCGGGATCGGCTCGTCTGCTAGACCCAAGGATGGCATCACATGCTCCAAGTCCCTCTTCAGGAAATTCTCCGTCAGACCCTTGAACTTAGGTTCCTCCGGGCCGTAGAACGTGTATATAGATCCTGTGCCGCCCACTGCTGAGATTCCACCCTCCTTGGGCTTCTTGTGGATAATCCCAACAAGTGCGTCGCCCACCATGTTGTAGCGCAGCTCACCTTCCACAATGCGTGGGCAAAATCGTTGATCTACGAGCTGCCCTCCTGCGGCCTTACCACCCTCCAAGTACTTGCCGACGCCCTTAGACGTCCAAGTTCCAGACTTAGACGTGCGGCCGCTCACACAGAACTCGATGAACTCCGCCACGGTGTGCTCTTCAGCATGGTTGTCGTTCGCCTCCATCAGATCCAACACCTCGTCGTCTGTGCAAGACCTCTCTCCGTAGGACTTGCAGTAGTTGCCGGCTTTCAGCTTGATGATCCAGATGCCCTCACCTGATGAGCCCCTGTTCTGCTTGATGACACGCGGCTGGAAAGCCATCGTCTTTTTGAAGCCTGCCGCAAACTCCTCTGCCGAGTAGTAGGCGAGCGTGTCCTCCAAGCCAATGTTCAATGTGGCCACCTTGCAAAGCGCGTCCTTGGCACCCATGAACTCCATGACGTCGGGTGAGGGCCAAACCTGAATGCCCAGCTTGCGCATGGCACGCATGCCATCGTCGAACTTGCCCTGATCTCCCCCATCTGCCTTGATCTGACCAGGGTTGCAACGCACGATGATGGCATCAAAGTTCTTGCACACCTCGAAGAACTTGTCATGCTCTTCATGCACGTAGTGAATCAGCTGACAACTCATGCCTGCACTGATCATGCCGTTAGCAAAAGGGATGGAATCATAGCGGTGGCCGTTCGAGCTCTTGTCGGAACCACCATACGGCTGGCTGCGCACGTAGATCTGTGCCAAACCAATCTTGTAAGTAGGCTTCTTTGGTTGCGCTTGAAGTCCAAGATCGTCCTTGGAAACTTTGGACAACGGAGCGGTGTCTACGGGGGCACGTACCTTCTCCAAGATGCTCAAAGCCTTCGCTCCCATGAGCTCTCCATATCTTTCAGCTTCCTTCAGATCTTCGGGCGAAATATCATCGAAGCAGGCGTTGGGGGTGTCGTCCTTGCAGTATGCAGCCAGGCACTTGGAAATGCCCACGCAGGAGCAGTTGAACTCCCCGACGATCCACTTCTCCTGATCCGCAGGCGTGCCCTCGGGCGAAGCAAGGATGAAGTCCGTCGTCCACCACAACGGGATGGGCTCGTTTGCTAGACCCAAGGATGGCATCACATGCTCCAAGTCCCTCTTCAGGAAATTCTCCGTCAGACCCTTGAACTTAGGTTCCTCCGGGCCGTAGAACGTGTATATAGATCCTGTGCCGCCCACTGCTGAGATTCCACCCTCCTTGGGCTTCTTGTGGATAATCCCAACAAGTGCGTCGCCCACCATGTTGTAGCGCAGCTCACCTTCCACAATGCGTGGGCAAAAACGTTGATCTACGAGCTGCCCTCCTGCGGCCTTACCACCCTCCAAGTACTTGCCGACGCCCTTCGATGTCCAAGTTCCAGACTTAGACGTGCGGCCGCTCACACAGAACTCGATGAACTCCGCCACGGTGTGCTCTTCAGCATGGTTGTCGTTCGCCTCCATCAGATCCAACACCTCGTCGTCTGTGCAAGACCTCTCTCCGTAGGACTTGCAGTAGTTGCCGGCTTTCAGCTTGATGATCCAGATGCCCTCACCTGACGAGCCCCTGTTCTGCTTGATGACACGCGGCTGGAAAGCCATCGTCTTTTTGAAGCCTGCCGCAAACTCCTCTGCCGAGTAGTAGGCGAGCGTGTCCTCCAAGCCAATGTTCAATGTGGCCACCTTGCAAAGCGCATCCTTGGCACCCATGAACTCCATGACGTCGGGTGAGGGCCAAACCTGAATGCCCAGCTTGCGCATGGCACGCATGCCATCGTCGAACTTGCCCTGATCTCCCCCATCTGCCTTGATCTGACCAGGGTTGCAACGCACGATGATGGCATCAAAGTTCTTGCACACCTCGAAGAACTTGTCATGCTCTTCATGCACGTAGTGAATCAGCTGACAACTCATGCCTGCACTGATCATGCCGTTCGCAAAAGGGATGGAATCATATCGGTGGCCGTTGGAGCTCTTGTCGGAGCCACCATACGGCTGGCTGCGCACGTAGATCTGCGCCAGCGATGTCTTGTACTTCGGATTTCGAGGCTGGGCCCTAAGTCCAAGATTATCCTTGGCGACCGTCACTAACGAAGACACATCCACCGGGCTTTGAAGTCTATCCAAAATCTGTTTGGCCTTCCTGCCCATTAAGTCGCCATAGCCTTGAGCCTCCTTCAGATCTTCGGGCGATATGTCGGTGTAGCAGGCGTTGGGGGTGTCGTCCTTGCAGTAGGCAGCCAGGCACTTGGAAATGCCCACGCAGGAGCAGTTGAACTCCCCGACGATCCACTTCTCCTGATCCGCAGGCGTGCCCTCGGGCGAAGCAAGGATGAAGTCCGTCGTCCACCACAGCGGGATGGGCTCGTTTGCTAGACCCAAGGATGGCATCACATGCTCCAAGTCCCTCTTCAGGAAATTCTCCGTCAGACCCTTGAACTTAGGTTCCTCCGGGCCGTAGAACGTGTATATAGATCCTGTGCCCCCCACTGCTGAGATTCCACCCTCCTTGGGCTTCTTGTGGATAATCCCAACAAGTGCGTCGCCCACCATGTTGTAGCGCAGCTCACCTTCCACAATGCGTGGGCAAAAACGTTGATCTACGAGCTGCCCTCCTGCGGCCTTACCACCCTCCAAGTACTTGCCGACGCCCTTCGATGTCCAAGTTCCAGACTTAGACGTGCGGCCGCTCACACAGAACTCGATGAACTCCGCCACGGTGTGCTCTTCAGCATGGTTGTCGTTCGCCTCCATCAGATCCAACACCTCGTCGTCTGTGCAAGACCTCTCTCCGTAGGACTTGCAGTAGTTGCCGGCTTTCAGCTTGATGATCCAGATGCCCTCACCTGACGAGCCCCTGTTCTGCTTGATGACACGCGGCTGGAAAGCCATCGTCTTTTTGAAGCCTGCCGCAAACTCCTCTGCCGTGTAGTAGGCGAGCGTGTCCTCCAAGCCAATGTTCAACGTGGCCACCTTGCAAAGCGCGTCCTTGGCGCCCATGAACTCCATGACGTCGGGTGAGGGCCAAACCTGAATGCCCAGCTTGCGCATGGCACGCATGCCATCGTCGAACTTGCCCTGATCTCCCCCGTCTGCCTTGATCTGACCAGGGTTGCAACGCACGATGATGGCATCAAAGTTCTTGCACACCTCGAAGAACTTGTCATGCTCTTCATGCACGTAGTGAATCAGCTGACAACTCATGCCTGCACTGATCATGCCGTTAGCAAAAGGGATGGAATCATATCGGTGGCCGTTCGAGCTCTTGTCGGAGCCACCATAGGGCTGGCTGCGCACGTAGATCTGCGCCAACGACGTCTTGTACTTCGGCTTGGAGGGTTGGGGACGCAAGCCCAAGCTGCTCTTGGCAACCTGAAGGGAGGCGAGCCGAGAGCCGTTTGACCCGTTTGAACCTTCTTGCATCTCTGAGTGCATTCTGAAGATCAGCTTTTCCCCCTAAGGCGTCAAAAGAGACGAAAAAAAAGATAAGCGAAGCAAAAAGCCGACCCCCAAGAACTTTCACACAAAAAACGACGGCGGCCGTCCCGCCGCGCCTGCGTGAGCGCGCTGAGGTCCACGGGGCCCATGGCCGCCTTCGCGAGGATCCCCAGGGCCTGCGCCCGAGACGCACAGAGTCCGCACAGGCAAAGAGCGGATCCCATCCCCTCTCTTCCGCGCATTTCTGTGGTGCTTCCTATGGTCTCTCTCCCTCTCTCCGCTCCTCCCTCTTACAGTCTCTCTCGGGGTCTCTCTCCGCTGAGTCAAGCTGCCACAGTGGGGGCCTTCCCCCCCCCCTCTCTGGAAGGGGCAAAAAGGGCCTGAGTCTTCTTGTTGCATTGAAGCGCCAAGAGGGACTATGAACCACACAGAAGGGCCAAGGCCAAACAATGCTCAGAATACCTAGGATTTCCGTTTTGCGGGGTGGAGCGGTAGAGCCTGCAACCACGGGACCTTGCCATTTGCCTCTTCTTCTTCTGACCATTTCTGACCACCCCCCCTCTTACGAAGCATGGAACACAACATCGCGTTGTCACGAACTTCGTCCAAAGCAGCACTGCACCTTGGCTCCCATCAAGTCGCCATAGCCTTGAGCCTCCTTCAGATCTTCGGGCGATATGTCGGTGTAGCAGGCGTTGGGAGTGTCGTCCTTGCAGTAGGCAGCCAGGCACTTGGAAATGCCCACGCAGGAGCAGTTGAACTCCCCAACGATCCACTTCTCCTGATCCGCAGGCGTGCCCTCGGGCGAAGCAAGGATGAAGTCCGTCGTCCACCACAGCGGGATCGGCTCGTCTGCTAGACCCAAGGATGGCATCACATGCTCCAAGTCCCTCTTCAGGAAATTCTCCGTCAGACCCTTGAACTTAGGTTCCTCCGGGCCGTAGAACGTGTATATAGATCCTGTGCCCCCCACTGCTGAGATTCCACCCTCCTTGGGCTTCTTGTGGATAATCCCAACAAGTGCGTCGCCCACCATGTTGTAGCGCAGCTCACCTTCCACAATGCGTGGGCAAAAACGTTGATCTACGAGCTGCCCTCCTGCGGCCTTACCACCCTCCAAGTACTTGCCGACGCCCTTCGATGTCCAAGTTCCAGACTTAGACGTGCGGCCGCTCACACAGAACTCGATGAACTCCGCCACGGTGTGCTCTTCAGCATGGTTGTCGTTCGCCTCCATCAGATCCAACACCTCGTCGTCTGTGCAAGACCTCTCTCCGTAGGACTTGCAGTAGTTGCCGGCTTTCAGCTTGATGATCCAGATGCCCTCACCTGACGAGCCCCTGTTCTGCTTGATGACACGCGGCTGGAAAGCCATCGTCTTTTTGAAGCCTGCCGCAAACTCCTCTGCCGTGTAGTAGGCGAGCGTGTCCTCCAAGCCAATGTTCAACGTGGCCACCTTGCAAAGCGCGTCCTTGGCGCCCATGAACTCCATGACGTCGGGTGAGGGCCAAACCTGAATGCCCAGCTTGCGCATGGCACGCATGCCATCGTCGAACTTGCCCTGATCTCCCCCGTCTGCCTTGATCTGACCAGGGTTGCAACGCACGATGATGGCATGAAAGTTCTTGCACACCTCGAAGAACTTGTCATGCTCTTCATGCACGTAGTGAATCAGCTGACAACTCATGCCTGCACTGATCATGCCGTTAGCAAAAGGGATGGAATCATATCGGTGGCCGTTCGAGCTCTTGTCGGAGCCACCATAGGGCTGGCTGCGCACGTAGATCTGGGCCAAGGCTGTGAAGTACGCGGGCTCCTGGCAAAAGGGAGGAGGGAGGCAGAGGAAAGCGTTGGGGTCTGGGGCGGGGGATGAAGGGGAAGGTCCGGGGGAAGCCCCGGCGGCAGCCCCGCGGCTGGCCTTCGGCTGCTCCAGCAAGCCCAGATCGTCTTTGCCCACACGTGTGAGGGAGGAAATATCGATAGGCCCGGCGGACGCAGGCGCATTCGCCATTTTCCGGCGAACACCAAGGGCAAAGGAAGAGTGAAAGTGCCCGTTCGCACTTCTGCATCTACCTTTCCTCCCCACTTGAGGCCACAACGAGCGGACATGTCACAAGTCTCCTCTCCTACTGAGTCTGAGAAATGCACAAGTCAAAGGGAGGGAGTCGGGGCGGCAGGGGCAGGGAGGGGCAGGGGGCAGGGACAGGGGGGCACATCAGGCACATCTCTCTAACTTTCTTTCAACAGGCGGAGGCGCTGGATGCGCTGGCACGGCCCCAGCTGGCATTCGCCATGACTGGCCATGCTCAGAGCTCCTCGCGGATCCGGCGCTCCACTTCCGGCAGCGCTGCGCTGCGATGCGACAAGCGCAAACCATCGAAGTCCGCAGCCGCCCTCCTCGTCGCCCTCTCCTCAGGCTCCTCAGGCTTTTCAGGCTCCGCAGCGCCCCATCCGGCACGGCTGTGGTAGGCCAGCAACCGGCGCAGCCACAAATCTTCCGCCTCTGCCTGCTCTGTCCTCTGCAAGACCTGACTCAAGCAACTCTGAATCTCACGGAACTGGGCCAAAGTCCTATAATGACTGTCGCGGGAGCACGATTCAAGTAGGACAATGTATGACAATATCAATACACCAAACTGCGTTATGTATTGCGGGAGGACGGTGACGGCACCACAGCGGGAGCCGTAGGCATCTGGCGATCGCTGGAACCAAATCCTGCGTACGATTGAAGGTACCCTGAATCCGAAGCAAAACCACAAGGCTTCCTGGGGCAAAGCCCTTTTGCCTTTTCCTTTCGCCGTGCCTTCTGCAGCGCTTCGCGGTGCTTCGGGTCCCGGGCAACGAGAACACAGAGCTGCAGATCCTTCAAATGCCTTGAGATGATTTGCAAAGCCTCCTCACAGCTACCGGCCAGTAGGAACAGTGCGGCTGCCAGATGGAATCGGTGCAGCTCCAGCAAGCGGAAAGCGTTCTTCCGCAGGAACAAAGGCTCGTTTGCCCGCTCGTGACTCAGCAGTGTCCAGAGCTGGCCTCCAGCTCCCGCCTCCGCCGCTTCCCTGAAGAGCCCCGTCTTGCAGAGGGCCCGCAGCTTACCACAGCTGGCGCCCAGCACCACGGACCAGAAGACCGCCTCGTCCACGGCCAACTTCCGCGCCACCTTTCGGCAGAGAGGAGGATGAGAGAGAGAGAGAGAGAGAGAGAAGACAGAGAGAGAGACAAGAGAGAGAGAGAAGAGAGAGAGAGAGAGAGAGGGAGAGAGAGAGAAGCAGGAGTGCTAGGAGTCTAGGACTCTAATTAGGAGTCTAGGATCACCTAAGAAGTGTCTTTGGCGCCCATTTTGTTGCCTGTTCCTGCTCCTCGGGAGCCCGGCCCCAGACGCCGGCATCGAACGTCCGGTCGTCGGCAGAGCTTTGCGGCCGCGAGTGCTTTGAGACGGTCGCCGCCAGCGAATGGCTGCTGCCACTCCGCAGTTTGGCCATGGAGGCTTGTGCGAGTCTCGTGACGATCTGATCCAGTAGCGCCGGAGAGCCCCACCAGCCCACGCCCGTCGCCCGCATCATCTGCCAGCCTCGTGACCTCAGCCGCTACGGCCTCGCTACGGCGCTACGTCCAGGACTCGGCTACTCGGCTTCCTCAGCTGAGGCCCTGGCTTTTCGAGGACCCAGTTGTCCAACAGCAACAGTTTCTGCCGTGCCACAAGGCCCCAAAGAATGTCCGCTGTCGCAGGTCCCAGAAAAGGACCCCGATGGAAGAAGCGAAGCACTGGAATTGGGGGGGGGCCCTGTGGGCCCTGTAAAATCGGGCTCTCCTCCAGGCGTCGGAGTTTCTGCCCCAGCTCCGAAACAGCCAATGCGAGGCAGAGGCACTCGGAGCCCGGGTCCGGTGAAGCGCTGGAAGCGGCTGTCAAAGCGTCAGAGACTGTCCGCAACTTCGGGAGCACGGCTTCTAAAATCTCCACCAGCGCTTTAACCCACTCAGCGGCCTCTTCTGCTCTGGAGGCCTTGGAAGACTCAGCGTCCGCTTCCACCACTTCCGGGGATCGGCGTGAACCCCTGGACACGTCCTTTTGGGATGTAGCAAAACGCTTTTAACAATCACAGCCGTTCAATTACTCCGATTCTCCTCCTCGTATCTGGCGAGCAACTGGTCGAGCTGTTCGCCGAAACTCTCGGTCTCCTCAGCTGCACCACGAAACACAAATGAAGAGCATTCATGAAGCCAGGATGACGTTCACGGTCAAGCCCGTTTCGAAAAGAGAGCCTCCACAACCCAACTATGACGTCCATGGTCCAAACGCATCCGTGGCCCAACCATGATAAACGTCCATGTGGCATGCCCCAAACACTGAGTTTGTGCACAAATGTCGACCTAGGCTCAATAAGTCCTGCCTGTAGCGCCAAAATAGCTTATAAAAAGGCGCTGCTAGCGTGAGTTGCTCACTATATATGTATAGTATATAATGGAATTGGCTTCTTTGCGGGATTACACCCCTCCAACCCCCCTCCCCCAAACTACTACTACTACTACTACTACTACTACTACTACTACTACTACTACTACTACTACTACTACTACTACTACTACTGCTATTCAATTGGACGCCGTGCGAGCGGGCTCAGCACGTTGCGGGCGATTGCCGCTGTGCAGTCACGTGATTGTGAAACTGACTCATTGACCCGAGATAGTCTGAGAGTTGAGAGTGTGCCAATAGTTTGTGACTGGGATAACGGCCTACTCTGCCCTACTCTGCCCTATGCATGTGGTTCTATCACTGCTAACAGGTCGAGCAATCGGCTCGTGCTGTAACAGCGTCGCACTGCCAGAGGTACCTGAAGTCGGTAAGCGGCGCAAGTGTTTGTGCAGTCTCATGGATGCAAAAGGAGGCTGATGCACGGACTGTCGACTCTTTTTGCTCAGACTGACAGCGACGGCTCCTGGCAGAAAGGCCATCAGTCTACTGTGGAAGAAAAAAGTGCGAAGAGTCGACGTATCAGTCAGGCATTGCCTCCGCAGCTATGGTTGGGTATTGCCATTGTGAAAAACTGCAAAGTGTTTTCAAACACTCTTTTGGGCCTCGGTTGCGTCCAAGCATTTAGATCATCATGAGCTCGTGTCATGCATGACCTACGAAAACGTTCGACGTGAAATTGTAGAAAAGCTTAAGGCAAAACACAAATCACAGTACATGGTAAAATCTGCACAAGGAGGGGATGCAAAGTTTCATCACCCCGCCTGAGTGTCCGCATGCAGCTTAGCGCATGAGATGCTCACGAAACTCTTGCTTTTGGCATCGAGCTGATTATCAGCATTAGCCGTAGCACTTAAAGCACTTACCGCATGCACTGTACCTAGTCGTGTTTGCCTTGTCTCGGACATAGACACAACCGACTTTGTGATACTTATCACCGTACTACTACTACTACTACTACTACTACTACTACTACTACTACTACTACTACTACTACTACTACTACTACTACTACTACTACTACTACCAAAAGAAGAGGCAAAAGGACTCCAAACAGGCTCTCCGGTTGCTGAGGCTCCTCGCAGCTCTGGGCCTCGACGGCTTTCGCCTTCGCCTCGTGCGCTTTCAAGGCCTCCTTGGCCTCGGCGAGGCTCCGGTCCAGCGCCGCGCAAAACGCGCCCAGGCGCCGCAGGGCTAGGGCGCCGCCGGCTCCGCTCTGCTCCCCGAGATCTTCGCCGAAGGAGTTGAACTCAGCGAAGGAGTCCTCTCCCTCCCCCTGCTCCGCCTGCTCCGCCTGCTCCGCCTCTTCAAATCCCCAGCCGCAGCCGTCTCTTCGGCCTCGCGGCTCCCTGCAGTGCTCGAGCACATCTGTCGGAGCTGCTACACGGCCAAACACCCCGCCCCCATATGCAGCCCTGTGGCTGTAAGAGGCCGTGAAACCAGCTCTCGACGGGATCCTCAGATGTTGCATTGCTCAAGGTGCGTGGCCTCCCCGGAGCTCGGCTGGAATATTGTGCGCCATACTTGGAACACCCCAGCCAAGACGCCAGAACATGCCAGCATCGCTGCTCTTCCTCCTCCAAGCACCGCAGCTCAGGGAACCCGCACATCTTACGAGCCGCAAGTCACACTGTCTGGCATGGCCCGGATAGTGGTTGAACGAAGTTAGGCGAGTGAGTGAGTGCAACTGAGCGCGAGTGATGTTAGAGTGGTGTGGAGTGGCATGTGGAGTGGAATGGATTGGCGTGGCATGACGCCCCGGCATGGCGCTGCAGGATGTGCGGGGCTTCGGAATTGCGGCCTGTGCGGCTCCTGCAGGGTGGCATTCTTTAGATTGCGTTTCTTCTTGCTCTGCTTCTTGTTCTTCGTACTGAGATGTCTTCCTCTTCTTGTTCTTGACCCCATGGCTCTTCTAGTTGTTCTGGTTCGTCGTGTTTGCTTTTCATGAATAGTGTTCTGCTCGGCTGGTGTCGCTGTTCGTTTGGTCGCTGCCGCTGCTGGTTCTGTTGTCATTGCTGCCGCTGCTGCCGTTATGATCGTTGTCGTCGCTCTTCTTGTTATTCTTGTTGCTGCGGTAGCTGTAGCTGCTGCTGTCGCTGTAGCTGTAGCTGTAGCTGTAGCTGTAGCTGTAGCTGTAGCTGCTGCTGCTGCTGCTGCCGCTGCTGCTGCTGCTGCTGCTGTCGCTGATCTTGTTGCTGTTGTTGCAGCTCATGCTGCAACTGCTGCTGCCATGCCTGCTGGCGTTGTATTTGCAATTGTGAACTGTGGTTGTGGTTGTTGTTGTTGTTGGTACACACAAAAGCAGCAGCCCGTAATTTATAGTAATTGGAAACAATTGGGAAAGCTTCCGGCGACCGCATAGGGTGCCTGTAGCATGGTTTACACAGCATCTGCTTCCATGATAGAAATGCCGTGTAGGCTGGGTGGTTGTTGTAAAAGGGGCATTGAAATCAAGACTTTGTCTCTGCCTGCTGGTAGAGACAAAAACTGCAGATTCGTCTCTTCTTTTGACGGACCCCCTTTACAACAACCGCCCACATTAGACCACATTTTCACCCAGGTATGGGAATCTGCGAAATCCAGAAATGGGGTTCTCGTGGACCCATGGGTTTTGAAAGGACTTCTCTGTAATTTTGCAAGGTTTTCATTGGATATCGAACGGTTCAAAGGGCCGAATCACAGCCAACTCAATGCCAAATGCAGCCAGCTCACAGCTGTGTCGCAACCAACTCACAACCGAATCAAGCCCAACTGACAGCCGAACCACAGCCAGGTCGCAGCCGATTCACAACCAGCTCGCCGAATCACAGCCAGGTAGCCAGGTCACAGCCCTTGGAAATAGACACAAAGTCCTTGCAAATGCCGTGAAAACCGTTGACATGCGCACAAAATGCTTGGAATTACGCACAAAATCCTTGCAAATACAATGAATCCTTGGAAAGACGCTGCAAATACACTGGAAATCACAGCAAAAAGGCTGAAAATCCTTTGAAATACGCGGAAAAGCCTTAGAAATACGCTGGAAAGCGCATCGGGAAAATCCTTAATCCTCTCCCTGTACAGTATAGGGACCGTGTTGTTGCTGTTGTTGCTGTTGTTGTTGTCGTCGTCATCGTTGTTGTTGTTGTTGTTGCTGTTTCTGTTCGGGGGTAAAACAACATGACGGGGCTTCTGTTTTTGTCTCTACTTGATGTACAAACAAGAAGCAAATACATGTGTTGACGGGGCTGCAGTTTTTGTTCGTACCTTGTTGTTGTTGCTGGTACAGACGAAAACAGCAGCCCGCAACTCTTGTCATTTAGCAGCAATATTGAGATCAGGACTTTGTCTCTACCGGTTGGTAGAGAGGAAAAAACGGCAGCCCCGTCTATTGTGTTGACCCACCACCCCAACAATCGCCCACGTTTCACCACATTTCCACCCCAGGTATGGGAATCTGCGAAATCTAGAAGGGATTCTCATGGATCTCGAAAGGACTTGTCTGGAATTTTGAAGGGTTTTCATTGGATATCGAACGGTTCAAAAAGGATTTGATAGGGGATTGACGGGTTTTATGTGATGCTGCAGGGCTTCAGTATGGAAATACATACAAAACCTCGCAAATACACAAAATCCTTGGAACGATTCATGGAAATGCATGCAAAGTCCTTGGCACTGCACACAAATTCCTTGGAAATACACACAATTTCGTTGGACATATACACCAAATTCCTCGGAAATACACACAAAATCACCGGATATACACTGAAAATACTGAAAAAATCCTTTGCAGATCATCCAAACCCTGTACACCGTTGTTGTTGTTGTTGTTGTTGGTAGCTGGTGCGTCTGCCGCTTGTTGTTGCTGCTGTTGCTGTTGTTGCTGTTGTTGTTGTCGTTGTTGTCGTTGTTGTCGTTGTTGTTGTTGTTGTCGTTGTCGTTGTTGTTGTAGCCGCTATGGATCACAGCAGGCTGTGTAGCTTTGCTAACAAGGCTCTGGGTACCAACGCTAGAGGCTCGCAACGTGCCCCTTCTGCGAAGCTTAAGGGACCGTCCTCTTACTGAGCCATAGCTATTCCCGGAGCCGCGTGTCGCTGTGATCTACCGGGTCCCAATTCCCGGGCCTCTGTCTGCAGTTATACAACCTTGGCAAGAGGTAAGCGGTAGGGTTCTCACCTTTCCGCGGGGTGAAGGGAGTCGGATCGAGTTCTCTCTTTCCGGCGAAACTAGCGGAAGGGGCGTCGACTGTGCCTCAGTACTTTTCTCCTGCCGATGCTTTTACATTTACAAAAGGACCTGCCGCACCAAGCCATTCAAGGGGCGGCCCCAGTCATGGGTTGGCCATCTTCTGCACCTGGGTATCCTGAAGGAAGCTTTCGAGTTGAGGCCTCGTTCCGCTCCTCTCTTCGACTTTCCAGCTACACGACAAGACACCCAGGTACAGCTCATGGTCTCTCCTGCGCAGTTTTGCTGGCGCTCTGGTTTTGCGCTTTAGCTGGTACACCTCCGCAAGAAGGACACGGATCGTCTGGTATTCTCATGCAGTCTTCTTCGAGCACTAGTTTTTCCTTCAACGGCACAGTGGACTGCCACCAGCTGCTACGAAGCCAGTGCGATCGAGAGTTCTTCGTCACGGTTGAGTGTTTTCTGCGCTTCACTTCTGTTCAGCCGCCAGCGCCTGGGAGCAAGTCAGACTCAGGACAGGCTAGGCGCAACGTGGTGACTCACAACGCGTCAGCATCCTCCCAATGCTGGCCCCGACGGGCATTCCAGGGACTCCTCTTGCTATGGGGTGCCCTTGAGGGCCTAGAGGGGCTATCCTCTCTTGAGGGGGAGGCCTCTCGGGGGCCGCCGGGCCAGACTTGTCTACAAGACAAGGCGCAGATTGGGACACTGGGGACTCAGGTTCAGCAGAGTTGGCCAACGTCTTCAGTTCCAGCACGGTGTCTACCTGGTACGGCTCCACGTCACATCTGGGTACAGTCGTTAAGCGGACGCGCTTGCTGTGCTATGGGTGTCGGGCTACGGCTACGGCCCTCCCAGGTGTGTTCGTTACTGTCCTGTTACCGACGGGGTCAGGCAGTGCTAGGAGTGACGGCCCACGTGTTTTTGCTTGACGACGAATTATCCTTACGGCCCATCGCTGGTAGTCGGGAGTTACCTAGTGTGGGACGCCACTAGACGGGAACTCTGGGAGACGGCTCTTCTGAGTACGACCCACCGGCTGCCAGTTCGTGAGTATTGGACGCAATGACTCACACTGAGGGTGACGGAGGCTACATGACGACGACTTTGTGAGTCGGGCTGTCACGTTAGGAGTTTCGGGCATCGCTCGCGTAAAAAGCGGGCAACGCCTTTGTAACTGAAGTCAACTTCTTGTGGCCTATCCCCTAGAGGCTGGTGCCCAAGAGCTGTTGCTGCTGTGTACAGTCTGCAGCGCTGCTCTTCTTGACTTAGGCCCTTTCTCTTTTAACGTTTGTAGCATCGGCTCCTAAGCTCACGAGCGGTTCAAGCTTCACAGGTCCCTCCCTCTTCTTTCCTCGGAGTACGCTGACTTGTGTTTGCTTTGCATAGGGCCGCCCAAAAAAAAAAACATCGGCTCCTCTTTTTCCTTCACTGAGGATCCTATAGGGGTTGCGCGGTCTTCTCTGTTGGTTTTGTTAGGTCAGTTCGTTTTGGCTTGTTTTACGCGAGGCCTCGGGGCCTGACTTCGGTCGTAGTTCTCAGAAACGGATGAAGGAGGTACCTGCGATTCTCGCATGGGCAGTCCCCTCGCGCAAAGCGCCAGTCTGTTTCTTTTTCTTTACAAGGCCGCCGGGCGAAGACCGCGTAACCTCTATAAGAATGTCGGCAGGTCAGATTCTAAGGGAGTGATGCTGGCTTATGGCTCACCTCGGTGGCGCTGGCTCACGGCACACTCGGGGATGGCACGCTTCCGAAGTTTCTGCTCGCCCGCAATGAGCAGAGCCCGCTCGCTCAGCGTCCAATAAAAAAAATGTTGTTGTTGTTGTTGTTGTTGTTGTTGTTGTTGTTGTTGTTGTTGTTGTTGTTGTTGTTGTTGTTGTTGTTGTTGTTGTTTCGGGGGGGGCGCAAAACAACATGACCGGGCTCCTGTGTTTGTCTCTACCTAATGTACAGACGTACAAACAAAAAGCAGATAGATGGTGTGGTGTTGCCCACCTCCTCCCCCCATGGTTATCCCCCTTCTCTATACCCACATATGTTGATTCTCCCCGCCCCTCTGTGGCCTGTGCCTCGGTGCGGGCCCGGCCCTCCTGTGTTCTCCGCCGCGCCCCCTGTGGTGTGGTGCGGTGGGTTTGGGGTTAAACTCCCTCGTCCCCTGTGGTGTAGTAAGTGTAATAAGTGTAGTAGTGTTGGGTCTTGGGTCATTTTGCCCTGGGTTGTGGAATTTCAGGCTTGGTGTTTAACTTGACCCGGTGGTAGGTGTTGGGTTTAGGTTGAGGGTTTTGCACCTGCACCCCCCCTGTGGGTGGTGGGGTTGTTTAGGGTTTAGGTGTATTGAATGTTGTAGAGACATGAAAGGGTTTCGGGCTGAGGGTCACCAGCTGGGCGCAAACCCAAAGCACAGCCCATCCAGGTGATTGTCGCCACTAAGTCACTAAGTAGCATA